AACTACATCCTGAATTGCTTTGAGAAAGCAATACTTTCAAATAGGCTCTGTTTAAAATTACTCTGCTGTAATGCACGCCATGTTTTGCCTTATGTCCCAACAGTGAGGTGAGGTAATGGATTATAATCCTTTCCACTGCTGTTCCATGCAAGGCCGAGCCTTCTGTGCACTGATGGCTGGTAGTGTGAGCGCTAATATGTGCCCAGCCTCTGTCAGTGCTACAGGCAGGTGCCAAGATGAAGTCTGCCTGCCTGCACCAGAGCAGACTAACACCAGCAATAAAAAAACAGCTACAAGGTGAAGTTCAGGGATGCTTTGCTCATGACATCTGTGGAAAATATAAATTAAACAACCCCTCGTTATCACCACTTCACATTAGAAACTTGAAAAAATAATTTTGAGCAACTTTTGCACAGGAGCAAAACACTGTCAAGATTTCCATGATTATATTGATACTATGCAACACTTATCAATGCCCTTAGAAGAGAAAAAGATCATGTGGAAAAGGATATGTGTCGGACTGCAGTTTATTATAATAATAATAATAATAATAATAATAATAATAATTAATAATTGCTTACACTTATATAGCGCTTTTCAGGACATTCCACTCAAAGCGCTTTACAGTTAATGGGGACTCCCTTCCACCACCACCAATGTGCAGCCCCACCTGGATGATGCGACGGCAGCCATAGTGCGCCAGAATGCTCACCACACATCAGCTATCAGTGGGGAGGAGAGTAGAGTAATGTAGCCAATTCATAGAGGGGGATTATTAGGAGGCCATGATTGGTAAGGGCCAATGGGAATTTTGGCCAGGACGCCAGGGTTACACCCCTACTCTTTTCGAGAAACACCCTGAGACCACAGAGAGTCAGGACCTTGGTTTTACGTCTCATCCGAAGGACGGCGCCTGTTTACAGTATAGTGTCTCCGTCACTATACTGGGGCATTAGGACCCACATGGACTGCAGGGTGAGCGCCCCCTGCTGGCCCCACTAACACCTCTTCCAGCAGCAACCTTGGTTTTTCCCAGGAGGTCTCCCATCCAGGTACTGACCAGGCTTGATAATGACAATTTATAGAAGATAAGGTTAAAAGGAAGAGCAATAGCTGAATTTAAAATAATCTAGCCAATTATTATTATTTATTTAAAATGTAACCATTGAAAATCCTACAAGTCCTAAAAAATATGGTAACTCTTTTTCTTACACTGCCACCCCACCAAGCTAGAAATTCCCTTTTCACAACAGGGACGTACTGTATCCCAGTTGGCATTTCCAAGGTCACACACATCACCCAAAACACATGAGTCATGTGTTTCAGTGTATGACATTTTAGGAGGATTAAACACTGAAGAGATGAGGCATTCTTGACTGTCTTTTCTCAGTAGCCTTAGTATGAAAATGGTAAAATCCATAACAAGCAAACAGTGTGCCAGTACAGGTAAGTATAACATATTTACGGTATACTTATTTTATAAAGGCATAAAGCAACAAGTTTTTACTTATTGTATTGGATACATTGTGTTTTTCAAAAAGGGAATCAAAGTAAGAATTGTTCAAATTCAGCTGTCTCGGGAGGAAGATCAGAATGATAATATGAAAGTGAAACAGGCAATGTAAAGTACAGTACGTGGCTTTAGGCTGTTTCTCAGAAAAAAAAACCCAACATTCTCAGAACCTGTCAGATCCTGAAACAAATGATGATGTGCTGCAGTAGACTCAAATTACAACTAAGTACAAATGAATTTCATAATCAGGTAGTTGGCAGGTTCAAAACCCAAGAAGTGAAGAGGAGGCAGCAGAGGGAGAAGCAGAGGGCTGAAAGATTGTTTTAGAGATTGAGGATGAGGCCTCTCTGCCACAAACAGGAACTCTATGCAGATTTTTTTTTTCCAAGGAAAAACATTTAACAGTCAGTTCCATTGGCGGTATAAGGGCACAAAAGCTGTGTATTGCTCAGTGTTATGTACAGTAAAACAATCTGCACTTCTTGATTACTTTAACAATTATTTTACCTCTTGGATGTTGCATATCTTTGTATATCTTGTTGATCATTAGTTTATTAACTCCAATGTATAGGTAAACATAGGGACTACATAGATATAATGATGTCAAGTCTTGTGATTTCTTCCTGACCATGATTTTGTATGGTTCTAATATTTATACAGTATATTTGTTCCCCACTGAAAATGTGGTCAATTATTAGGTAATGTTATCCTTATAGTGAACATTGTATTGGTTTTATTGCATAGTCAAACCCTAACCCTGGGATGTGAAAAAAAGCCGCTCTCTAAAAGCTCTTATTTTGCTGTGTCCGACAGTTCTAATTGAGATGCATTGATCTTCACTTGCTTCATTTACTCAACATTTATTATGTCAATAGGTGAGTTCACCGTACTGCATGATAATGTTAAATTTATTCTTTGGCAAATCTGTGAGAGGAACTCTGCATTGAAAAATTCAGTCTCCTTATTAAGTTGCTAGGTCTTTAATCAATAGTTGTCAAAAACAAATGCTCTTTATTATTAATTTGCAGCTTTCAAATACTCCCCTTTACCTCTTTTTAAAAGGAAAAAAAAGAAAGATGAATGGTTTTAAACTGTCACCATATCACAACAGGCTTGTAATCTTTTTATGACTATAAAAGTGTTGTGCTCTTGTTCTGTCAGAGGCCTGAAAGAGAAAAATTATTATAGTTATGTTCCAAAACAGAATTGTGAATATTATAAATGAAACGATTTATAATAATAAGTTGTTTAACAAGATAAAGTAACCATAAAAATATGAAATCCTTCAGAACTGGAAAAATTTACTTTAAAATTGAACAGCACTGGCTCGGGTTACTTTTTGTTTAGGCTGCCTTTTAACTTGAAAATAACCCCATTCCTCGTATTCATATTTTACCCATAAATGTGAATAGTTTGGTCATTCAAAGAAAGTCAGGAGATTCGACAGATATGAAACACCCACTGTATATCACAGCTTTAGCTTCATTTCGTATATTTCTTCAGTGTCATCACTGGTGAAATATTATTTACCATACCAGTTAGAATGGAACAACAAACACTGAAGACTAAGCTTGTCATAAGACAGCTGTGGTTTTACAATTCAGAGTGCTTTGTTTATAAACATTACACTGTTGACTGGAGTATAATACGCTGTTACATAATTAATGTATATATTTATAAGTTTATAACTAGAAAAAGCAATAGTTTGGAAAATACTGCTGTACAAAGACCGTAGGCAAAACTGAAGAACAACAGAATGAAGTGTGCTCACAGATCACAGACGATATTGTATTATTGTCCGAATTTCGGAGGTCACATTATTTTTAGAACAGTAGTGTTGTTGTTATTATTAGCTATAGAACGATAATTAATAATGAATTATGTTATTAGTTATTATTAGTTATAGAATAATGAAAATCATTTAGACGTTTCTCATTGTTTATTTCCCTCTTCTGTTTTTGAAAAGCGGCTTTTTTTGTTCTTTAAGAGCAAAGAGCACTCGTGTGCCATACGTAATACTATTCCTCCACGTCACGGGCCGTTCAAAGGAGTGGAAGTAACGCCGGTGCTGTTCCACCAGGCTGCGAGACAGACTGCAGCAGCGCTAGAGTGTACTACTGAGAAATTACGAGAGGACTTCGGGATTACTGGGATTTTCAAAGCGAAATGATCCAGTCGAATCTGATCAGATAACAGGATCATCTTGACACCTGAGGGTTGATGGTTGCTGTCCGTGTTGAGCAGATCGAAACGATATTGTTTTCACGTGGAGGTATCCCCAGGCTGTAAAAAGTGGTAGGTTTTTTTTATTTTTCTCTGATTTCTCGCAGGTTGCTGCAGGTTTAGTTTCATGTGTGCATTTAGTCGGTAGTTAATAAGTTTAACAAAACATGTTGTAGAGATCTAAAGCATGCTTCCTGGCCAACCGATGACAACTTTGGATTCCAACATTTAAGTTTGAGATACGGTCTGCTTTTTGCGAAGCAGGCTTTGGTTTATGTCTCAACACAGCGCATGGTGGCAGGACTGCATCCATTAGATTCTGGGAACGGGGTTTCAAAGGCTGTTGCAGACATTGCAAACCTTCCAAAGTCAGGAACTGTGCCTACCCAGAATCATCAAAAGCTTTTAAAACCGCTAGCTCGTTTTTGCTCATGTTCTGCTTAAATCGGCGAAATGATCATCAAGAGACAACTAGTTGCCACCGTTTAAAAAAAGCAAGGGGAGAGGACGGAGAACCGCCTAACAATGGACTGCAGCAGTCAATTATGAAGAGTTAAAGAATTGGCTGCTTAACTCCTTTCAATTCGATTTTTCAGCGACTAAGTAAAATAAAGTTACTTATGTCAAGCCTTGAAGTCAGTATTGTTTTTTTTTTTGCTATACTTACGTTACTCGTTTTTTTTGTTGGCCGTGCTTTACGTTTTATGATTTTATTGCAGCCAGTAGTTCACTGTAAAGCAGCTGCAATCCAGCTGATTGAAACATTAACATCCGAGTTCACCTGTGAAAATACCCAAAAGCAAAGGTTGTCTCTCTCTCATTTTTATTCTTTTCTCTATTAGCTGAAATACGACGTAGATTTCCAATATTTGTCTTAAAGTCGTTCTCTTACCGCTTTATGCCTGGATTTAACTCATATACCACAGATATACAGGTACAGGTAACTGTATTCGAAAGTGTTGTTTGGGACGAAAGTTAATTGACAGATATACAGTACCGAAACTGCTCCTGCAATATGGCTTGTGAAGGAGAAAAACGCGATTTGCAAGCTACCTGCATGAGGTGACAATTAGAGCGAAACTGATACAATGTACAGGTGAATTCTGCGTATTCGGTTACGCAGTTCTTGGAAAAACACACGTTTATTAAATGTAGGACACAGTACAGGCGGTGAGTAAAATGCCGACTTCACGTTGTCGTTCATTTCAGCCAGCCATTCGAATATTGTAAAATTCGGTTTCTGATTAACGGTTAAATTCTAACCTTTCGGTAAAATGGCTACGCTTAAAATATCGGTCTGAAGTGGCAGAAAGACGTTTCTGTGAACTGGAAAAAAACTGAAAACCGCTAGCAGTATGGATGGATGGAGGGTGGCAAAAAAGGAACGAAGTTTTTTTTAATTTAGTTTAGAAACTGAGTCGGATGTAAAGCTTCTCATTTTCACAGCGTAGAAAAGGAGTAATGCATCAAAAACGATTCAGTGTTGCACACATATCCAACCCTTAACTCATGATACTGGTCGTGGTAATCCTTATCGTCTAACCGATACTTCCTAGCTTCATGCATTATATGCATTCCTTTGGGGTTATAACAAGGAAGCGAAATCTGGTTAAATCCGTCAGTTAAAACCTTATGAAAAAAGTTCCTCTTTAATGGTTGATTTCTAGTTCTCTTTCAAATTAACTTTTATTGCTTGGCTATTATTAGGAGTATTTTTAACTTCTAAACGTTACCTAGTTTTAGAAAGTATGTTATTGCAGCTTAAGATAAGGGTTTATTGATACTTAAGGGACGCAGTTTTAAATCTTCGGAAAAAAAAGATGTACCAGGATAAAATACAAACATAAGACTTTACGGAAAGCCTTTGTTAGCACTGGGCTTTAAATGTATTAGAAAATTAAAGTCTTATTGTATACTCGTGTCGGGAGACTAGGATGTTTTCACAAAGATTTGCTTTCCATCGAGCGTAGTCACAGGTTTTGTAATGTAGGACTTGTGGCGTATAGTACGTTTGCATAATGAAGTCTTTGGCAGGACTATCTGCCAGTTGAAGGAGGCTGAGTTCCAAGTATGGAAACTGGGAACTGTTGATAGCTTATTTTTGTTCCATCATCATTTTTTCCCATTTCAGAAATGATGTCTGTTAAATTGTGGGACTGGATTTTGCTATACTTACAGTATACAGCCTTCAATGTTGGCATCTTTCTTTAGCTGTTAGTATGCATGAGCTAAATCGTTTAATAAAAGCCAGCTGATGTTAACTGCAGTTCTGCTCTGAAGAGATACAGCACAGTTGGTGTGGAAATGGTGATCACTGGCAGGTAACTTTCCATTTTGTATTCGATGAGTGTCCAGTTCCAAATCCTCTCTCGACCTTAGTTTGGGAGAAATTTTACTTTGATGCATACAGGCTTATGCGAGCTATGTTTCTGATATATTTTCAGAACATTAAGTTGTATCATTTTGAAGTAAATGCAGCTATACATACCTGTACAAACAGTACTAAAATTCTAAATAATTTGTAAAGTACTTTATATGTGTGGAAATATGCATATAATATATGCACATGAGTGTGATTTCTATTTTAACACTTTGGCAAGTGGAAGACACCATTAAAAGTTCTCACTCTGGGGGCTCAAGAGAAATTTCAGTTGTTTGATGTGCATGGTAAGTTAAAATAAAACAAGTATTGGAAGTAAAGCTGCATTGTTTTCAGGTTCTACAGTTTTTACTTTGTGAAATGGTGTCGTGATTTAGCTGAAAATATCAAAAAGGACTGTGTGTCATTCAATGTGGGTGTCATTGAAGTTTTTGTGCTCCTCTTTTTTTGAGAAATCTGTTCAAAAATTATTTTGGAGTGCAGAGTGCATAGAGCTAAGACATATTTCAGCAGGAAGTAAATACTGTAGATACTTTTAGAGGTGATAAAGAAGGAAGTGATCTGTGTAATTTCATTTTTATTAAGTAGTGTTTTATCCAACCTTGCAGACAACTATAAAATAACTTCTCCAAAGATCCTTCCAGTAGTGGGTGATTTGTGACCACCAATCTATATGTGGAAGTTACATTCAAATGAAAATTCACTTTTATCTCCTTCACAGTATCTCTTATGAGTTGTCAAGGTCTGCCAGGATTTCTGACATGCTCTGTTATCCTGGTGAGGATCCTAACTGAAACCGCAGCCTTCTGAGCAAAAAACCACAGTCTTGCCCAGCCTGCAAGAATGAGAAAATGGGATGGGTTAGGGTCTTAGTTTTATACACCTGGGTTTTTAACTTCTTGTGGGATGGGAAACAAGGAAATATCTTTGCTGCTCCTATGCAAGCTTCCCTAGAGACTGTACAGCCTGTTTAGGGAAGTTGCATCAGCGGTTCATTCTGGATCATAGATCGCTTCATATCAGTGTATAATAGTGGCTTCAGCCATTGTCTCTCAGTTTTGTGGTGAAAATCTTTTTGCTGGAAAGTTTGCTTGAACATCTATTTTCAGTTGCTATCCATTTGAAGATGACTTGAGGCCTTTTTGATGAGGTCATTATCACTTACTGTAACTGCACTTGAAACCAAGGTAATCAGAGATCAAACTGCAAAGGTATTGCAGTGAGACAAGGTACCCTGAATCTTATTTTAGGTTGGAGGCCAAAGGGGATGTAATTAAAATCTCAAATGGTTGTGTGTGGTGAGAGATCAATGTGAGCCTTCCATTAAAAAAGTGTTTGGATTTTTTTTTTTACAGTAGTTGGTTTTAGCAGCATTCAGGAATGTTTGGAGATTTGTAGACACATTGGAATTTTGAATCGGTAATTGCTTCTAGCCTTTTAGATCTCTTTCTAGTTTATTGACATTTTTTTGCTTACAAATTACAATTAGTTTGCTTTAAGTCTGTGTCGTTAGTATTATATATGATTTTTAAAATTTAAATACATTGTCAATGGCTTTTGCTCTGTTTTCATAACCCACAGTGGAATTTAGCCAGGATACTGGGGGACACTGAGGTAAACACTCTTAACACTGTTTAGAAAAGTGCAGTGGAATCTTTAATGACCATGTCATCAAAGGGACAGCACCTCCTACATAATGCCCATGGGCAGTTTAGTGGGTTATCACTCTTAGAAATCTGGTCTAGCTGGGAATACTACTACCTGCTGGCCCACCAGCATGACTTTCAGCAGAAATCTTATTGTTTTATAGACATCCACCATTCATTCTCCTGCACTCACTACTGGAATGATCAGTATTTTTGTAGATAACTACAAAAGTTTGCTTGCAAACAAGACTTGATAATCTGTAGCAGCAATACACTTCCCAGGTGTTGAATTGTCCTGTGCCTCTAACGTATCATGGGCAGTGTCTGTTGAAAACGCACTGTTTGCAGTGGAAAGCAATGTAAGCTTGATGAAATACAGACTAAGGTAAAACCTTTGTTTCAGGTTATCATTGAGCTGAAATGTTTAGGCTTGTTTCATACTTGACCTTTATCTTCTGCTATACAAAACCCAAAATATGAGCAAAATTAATGTATGGAGGGTTTTTTTTAGGCTTCAGTTCATTTCAAAAAGAATAACTTGAGTGACATCCTGAAACATTCCTTAAGATGTAAATATTTATTAAGTGTTTTAGCATAATGCATTTTATGCTGGCAGGGATGCTTAATAAGGACACATGGACCCCATAAATAACTCCATATGTGTCCTGGAAAAAAAAAGAAAGTTTTATAGGTACATGAAACCAAGCATAAAAGGAGAAAAGCCTGAATGCTTGATTCATGATTCAGTCTTGCTGTACAGTACCCCTTGGCTACTGCTCCTACTTACTGGTGACTCATAGCTTTCGTCAGTGGCTTTTTCTTCATTCCTTTCTTTGCATTCAGAGGAGTTTTACCTTATATAAAATACTATTCACAGAAGTGGTGGGAGAGAAAACAGCTTACCTGAGATAGTGTACTAACCTGAGAGCAAGTAGCACTTTAGATTTTGACTGTGCTTAGCAAATTACATGCCAGGCTATCATGAACTGCAAACCCGAAACTGTTTTTTTTTTCTGAAAAAAAAAGCTTCACTCCAAAGACAAATGTATTTTGAAACCGTAAGAAACCCTAGAGAATTTGCTGCTTTGGCACTATATAGTACTAGTGTCTAGTTCCATTATCCCTCTTCTGCCAGATCTAGTTAAAAGGTACGCTGGATGGAGTTGGAGGCTGACATTTCTTTGGAACTGAAAAGTCAGAAAAAATATAATTAAACATTGATGTTCTGTGTTATACCTTGAATGCCAGATTAGGCATATATTGTAGACCAACGTTCAACCTTGCCTGGTTGGATTCTAAACACTATTCAAGGTCTAGTTTTTTATCCCCACTTGAACAAAAGTTGGGAAAAGAATTAAATGTAATGCCCTACAGAGACAAATATTAATTTTAATTACCTGAGCTTTGATGCCTCTAAGAGAGCTCCTGGCTACATCAGAATGAAGTAGATTACCCCAGCATGTTTCCACTCCTAAAGCTTTTGTGAGCCAAACCAAGCAAGCCTGCAACCTGCGCTTGATTACACTTTAGACTGGTTCTGCTCAGCCTCCTCATTTTTAGACAATATTAAATCATCCAGCAGAAGTCATTTTGATTCTGTGTTTTGTTGTGTCGGGCAGATTAATAGTTTACAGGCTGAAAACACTTTGGTAACTAATGCTTCACTGACTATTGGTGATGCCTTTATCTTCTGTCATTGTATATTACATGCTTATTGAAAATATAATGATATAATGATAGTTTTTTGTGAGAGACATTTATTTTTATTTCACAATATTGAGAGTGGCTAGTTAAAACTTATTTTGTGAAAGTCATTTTATAGTGGATTAGCACGGGCAGAAAACAGCTGAGCTGAGCACTGTGCTGTGGTCTCTGAGTGCTTATTAAGGTTTATAAGCACCATCTGTGTTGATAAAAGCCAGGGATCTGCAAAACCTGGAGTCTGTAAAACTTTGCAGTATGTTTCTAAAGCACAGTAGATTAGCTTTTTTAACCGCTTCCCACAGTTCCAGATTACAGTAGCTGATACTGTGGGTGTCGTAGTCATTGAAACTCAGCTTTACCCTGTCTGTCAAATTTTATGCAAGAAGGGTTTGTTTAGATTACGTTCAGAGAGCACAGACAGCTGAACAAGAACAACAGTTTTAATTTTTCTTTGGAAAGACCATTGCTGCTGTCACAGCTTCTATTTCATGCTGGAAAACCAATCTCTTTTTGTAATAGTGAAGGCCGAAAGCACTGGCATGAAACCTTTTTTGAATGCTTCTTATAAAGCTGTATAAAGAAAGGATTCCTGTTTTCTCTTTGACTTTTGTAATGAACTGCTCCTTGCCTTTTTATGAGCCTTGTGCATTTTGTGAGCAATTATTTCCTGTATGTATGCAATGTAAACATATACAAATTTAAATTGTATTTTTAAGTGCTTGATATTGAATGTACCTCCTTGGTGCTTTGTGATTTACGCTGCTAGGTGAAGGAATAAAATGAGTGGAGGTTATGCATAATACATGGGTATAATATTTTGCAGCCTTTTTTCAATCAAGCAATGACAATTGTGTGATAACTTCTGATTTTCATTTTTTTATAGATTCATTTTCCTGAGTAGTACCTGAGCAAAACAAACGATTGTCTGTGGCCAAATTTGAAAATATATTTAGGGTTGCTATGAAGCAACAATATCCTTTTAAGATACTTGGATGCTCAATTCCATCCCCAAGAATGATGTGTACACTGTCAATCTGCCATCCTTATTGTAAATGGTTCCTGGGTATCTTCAGAAAACTCTTTAAGACTTGGAAAGTGGAAAGTTTCAGTTTCCAGTTATATTCAGGCATTTAGTTTGGTCCCTTTTACACATTTTTATTTGTACTACTCAAAAAAAAAATACTGAAATAAAATTCTTGCCTTTAGAGTGTTTTGTTTATGCCCACTTTAAGACCTGCAAGCACTATTCTATTATCTGTTTTTAGCTGTTTAGATGCTTAGCTTTTTTGTGGCAAAAAATGAAATGTAGTCCTAAAATTAAATCTGTCTGAGATCTCTGTCACAGTGTTGACATGTATCTTTTCATCTTAAAAAAAAAAAAAACTGGATGGCGGTAGTGGATGTGTTTAAAAGATTTGCAAGCCTTAAGTGAACGTGATTATGTGATTACTTATGAGAGAATAAAATCTTAAAATACTGAGCACTCCCCTTTCATGTATTGGCTCATGAAACAGGTTAAAATAAGGAAGTTATAACTTTTTTTATTCTTTAGAATAAAAGATTAGTATTTTATTATAGTGATTTTGTGTGT